ACGAATAGCGTATACTTTTACAAGAAGCGTGGGAAAAGATAAATGAATGTACGTTAATCAGATAGGTATATATTTGTCAATGTAGATATGTCGCAGTAAAAAAAAATTTTATTTCATTGGTCGAAGTGTATAAATTATACGAAAAATTTAGCCACGAAGTGACCGCCTCCAGCAATGATATGACTCTATTATTTATATTCGAAGAAAATTGACATTGTTATCAAGGTAAAGCTATGTGTGAGCTATTTCCAAAACTTTACTGATTATATAATCAACGTCATCCTGAGATAAATTCAAAATCGTTGTTGCATTAAAAGTTTTAATCCGACTTATTATTTCCTTTCCACCAATATTATTAAAAAGTCTAAAAATCTTTTTAGCTCTTTCTTTTCTTTTTCGAAGATTGGTCTCAGTAAGTTTATCTTGTGCAGAAATCTGTTCCCTAATTTTATCATTAACTCTCGCATTAGACGCATCCTCACTGCATGTTTTTCTATAATGATCGAACCATAATTTAATACCTTTCCCGAAATCATAGTGGCAGTAAATCAGATCATGGGTAATTTTCTGATTATTGTCTTCGGCATTAACTGAATCTTTATCAATTTCAGAAATGTTTGACTGCAAAATCATGGTGTTACTGGATGAGGTTTTCTGAGTAGGAGTTGTCAATTCTTTGATTAGTTTTTTCAATGTTGGTGAGTCTTCTTTTTTAGCTGGTTTCTTAGTTTTTTTGCTGGTAGGTTCATTACTAGGTTCGTTAACACGCTTTTGTGGTAGGACAATAGTTGTATTAGATGATTCTTCGACACGATGCTCTGTTTCTTCATTTCTATCCAAATCCATAGCTTCACCCTGGGAGGAAGTGCGTGGCAAATTAATTTTAATATTACGGGTAAATTCATCAGCTAGAGACGATGTGCCACTTATTTGAGAAGATACAGAGTCTCGTCGTTGGGCTTCATCAATAAGCTCGACACTTTTTCCACACTTAGGAAAGGGACATGTATTTGGTACGGTAAGCAGAATTTTTTTCTCGACGCAGAGTCTATGAAAGATATGTTTGATCTAAATTTAAAAAGTAAATATGATGATAAATAGCAGATATCATAATGGAAGTTTGGTTACCAGTGAAAACTGCTTCAGACTTGCTAGTTTCAAATCTCGGACGTATCAAGAACAAAAAAGGTATGATATTTAAGCTAAATGCCTGCAAAAGAAAAGGTTATGTACGAATTGAGATTAAAGTTAATTGCATTAAAAAGATTATTGCAGTTCATATTTTGGTTGCGCAAGCATTCATCCCTAATCCAGAAAATAAACTCTATGTTAATCATATCAACGGTATTAGGTGTGATAATCGAGCTATTAATTTGGAATGGGTAACTCCTAAAGAGAATGCTGAGCGTACAGTATTTCGAAATCCTGGTCGTAGTTCCACACGAATCATACAAAAGTCATTAGATGGGAATGTTGTTCATATTTGGGATTCTATCACTCTTGCATCTAATACTCTTAATATAGTAAAGAGTAATATTTCTCAATGTTGTAGCGGAAAGCTGAATACTGCTAGAGGGTGGCATTGATGTATTATGAAGACTACGTAAAACAAGATCCTAATGAAGAATGGAGAGAAATAGAGATTAATTTACGAAAATTCAGAGTTTCATCTTTAGGGAGAGTTTGGTTAAGGAATGGTAAAATAACTCGAGGATCTCTAGACGCAGGATATCTTAGAGTTGCCCGAGAAAAATATCGTGTTCATCGCCTGGTTGCATTAGCATTTTGCCCAAAGAATATGTGAATCATATTGACGGAGATTCTACAAATAATAAAGCATCAAATCTCGAATGGTGTACACCAAAAGAAAATAATTATCATGCTGTGCGCATCGGGCTTCAGCGACAATGTGGTGTTAAGCAGATTTTTGATGATGGATCTTTCCGAGAATTTCCATCCATAGCTGAAGCACGGCGTGTTACTGGAATTAATCATATAGGACTAGTATGTCGGGGATTTCAAAGACATGCGGGAGGGTATCGTTGGGAATATGTTACGCAATAACATTTGCACGCCTTTCAATTCAATTGCACTAAAAATAGCTTTTTATTTCATCTGATTCACAGTGTGATAGAATTCTAGAGTTCTAGTCACAACGTATAATCGCTTCTCCATTATACCTGATATCTTGCTTGCGGTTGATTTATTATATAAAGGTAAATTTTTTTCGTTCAATTTTGTACAAAAAACTAATTAGTAAAACTCATTTTGTAGCTACATAAGGATCGATTGTAACTACACAAGCGAAATAAATTTATTTTTTTATTAACATATTTGTGTTATGCGAACATCAGTGGTGGTGGATTTTCATAATCATCGCTAAACTGTCTAATAAGTTGGTCTACATCTGGCTGTTGATCTAAATCACACCAATCTCTTAACAATGTTAACCTTTTGCGAACCCTCATATTGAATAATTCATTTTCTGACATATCACCAATCATGTCTGTCATTCTGTCCTCATGTGCTTCATATGTGTGTTCGAGAAATTTCGTTATATTCTCAAGACATACGGGTAAGGCAGGTAAGTTTGCTGTAGTGTCGATGTCTCCTTTCCAACTTAGGATCTTCTTTGCTTCTTCAAGCACGAACCGTCGAATTACCGCTAAGGCAATTCCACGACCAGTTACACACTTTACCAAGCATTGTTCACCCTTTAAAAATTCCGGTTTTGCGAAGAAGAAAATAATCCAGTGGTCATTACAATCCGTTAAGACGGATATTGTATTCAAAACATGGCGTTTATCTGCTATAAATAGCTCTCCAATCGCTTGACCTTCTTTGAAATCCGCCTGTGATTTTTTAGTTTCAATGGAGGCGCAAGGAGTCATACTGGGTCCAAGAGCTATATCGGTGCCACCCGTTAAAGTGACATTTGCCCTTCGCAAGTATCGTTGACCTTTCACCTGCGCATGGACGTCCCTCACATGGACATTCCTTGGTAGTTTTAGAGCTTTCTCAAAATATTTCACGACATTTTGCATCTGTTGATCTTCATCCTTCTCCGAATCCCATTGGAAGCCTGGGTATTGCACAGGATTGAGCGATGGGAAATCTTCTTCTGATAGCTATATAATATATAATTGATATGGCACATTCTAAATAAACTAAATAATACAGAAGGTTACTTACTCCTATAATCTTTAATTCCATATCATCCATGATTTTATTTATTTTTTGTTCAGAAAGGTTCGATACTGAGAGTACATCAGGCATGCGCCGGGCGAATTCTTCACGCACTGCTGTTTTTACGATCTTGCTCAAATCTTCTGATTCATCATATTTACGCTTTGTCCCTTGTTTGAAAATAGAGAAAAAGTCAAAGTTAGTAAGCAAGCATCACAAAACATTATTCCAAATGTCCCTTAAACAAGTACACCTCCGTAATAACCATTTTGAACTGTCAACCATCTCTTTTTACCAATTTTTGATCGCGAGTCGACAGACAATTGCATTATTCGCTCACTAGTTACCTTGCTCTTCGCCTTTGATTTCTTTAACAAACTGAGAAATTCTCGTTGCCGGTCCTCTTTTTAAGCCGTCTTGCATAAGTTTTTCTTCCGTTAACAGCAGGAAATCTTGACCGGCAACTTCTTGATCCTCAATTATTTTGATGTGTTTGTCATTAAGAAATAGTTCATCTTTCTTTTTTTCAAGAAATTCAAGAACTTGTTGCGGACTCCACTTCTTGATTTCTTCTGCACTTGGCATAGCAACCTCAGTAGTTTCAACGTCTTCCATGGAAACTATTATTTTCGCTAAAGATAATGAACAGTTCCTCTATAAACAGTACTTGCAATACAATAATTACCAGTAGACTGTTCCCTTAGTAAGGGAGTTTCTTCGGATGTTTGCCCCTTCTCAAATGTACCAATATCTGGTGGTCGAACGTTTTTTCCTTTCTTAGACGCATCAGCATTTGGTGGCTGAACGTCTTTGCCACCTATTTTTCACCAATGATAATAAGTAATTTCTCCACAAATAATACAATACGCTTGCTTTTACCTGTAGATGCAACAGTTTTTGGTTTATTTGTTCTTTGACTTTTTTTCCCCATCGTTTAGGAAAGTGATACTGTATAACGTTACGTGTGCATATCACATCAAAAAAGGTCCAGATTGTGTAACGCGACTAAAATGTCGGTGTCACGTGGAATTTTTATGAGTGAATATTACATAATCAAACTTTATTACGAAATTTAACTTTCCTTCTTATTTATAAATTTCAACGGTCATATATAACTAAACGCCAAGGTGTATAAATATGAGAAGCAATGAGTCATGTATATGAATGAAATCTCTTTAGCTTAATAATTATTCTTGTAAGATTAATTATAATAACAATCCTGCAATCTGAAAAATCTCAAATCTCTATGACTTACATTTTCTGATAATAGTACTAATAGAAATTAACAGGTTATTCATTCTTATTGTCTTTTCGAGTTTTATTTATATATTATTATCATTTTTGGTACCCCTTGAAAAGGTTATTTCATGATAGGTTAATAACTTTATATATAATATTTGCTAGGATAATATATAATAAAGATATTATTAATTACAGATGGAAGAGACTAATATAATCAAAGATATAATATAATAGACATTAGACTATGATTATAATGAGATTAAAGATAGGTAACAAGAGGTGTTCATAACATGATCAGCTAGAATGAGACCTAGGATCATAATATAAGGAATATATAATAATAAATAAGATATTATTAATAAAGATTATTAATTGATAACATTATTATATTTAAATTATTATTTTGTCTTATTATTATTTAATTCATTAATTTTTTTAATTATTTATTAATTCATTTTATTTATTTTATTCATTTATTAATTTTTTTAATTAACTTTTTTTGATTTCTAACTAAAATACATTACTTTTATATATTTTAAAGGTTTTACAAATGATACTTTTGTTATGATCTAAATACTACTTTTGCTAGTGTCATAATATCAGTTTTGTCATGATAGTATTGCTAAATTATTTTAGTTAAATTAATTATTCCTTATCTTTATTCTTAATTAAATCAGACACTGAATATTCTAGCATCAACAAGAATAAAATACATAAGTTTTTGAAGCAAAGAAGCATAATTAATTGATATTATCATAAAGTTAAAATGATTTCACTTCTTTAGGTAGTTAATTCTTTCTCTAATAATTAATAATAACATAATTTTGTGCTAATAAGATATTATTGTTAGGATTATAATGCAAGACTTCTCCAGTAATTATCATAGTATGAGCTAAATTTTGTGCTTTATACATTATTACAACATAAACTACTCTTATTTTTTATAAGTATTTAGGAATTAAATTATAATCTTTTAAGAATCTATTGAATTATTTAACTTCTGACTTATCTGAATTATCTATTTAACTAGAAGATATAACATTCTGAATTTATATAAGTAATTTCTTAGCTTATTCTTAATTCTTCTTTATAGATCTAAATTTTTTAGAAATATTTGATTGACTCCTATTTTTTGCATAACCTATTATTTTAGAGTTTATAATATATAAAGTTATAAGTTTGGCAGAATAAATATAAAATATCATCATAATATTTGCAAGAGCTTGTAAGTTAGGTAAAATAGATATATCATAATTATCTAATTTCTCTCTGACTGATTTTAACATAAATTTATCTGAATAATTGATATGTTTAGCTTTAACTTTTTTCTGATTGACATTCTAAATTTTGTTGGTATTTTTTGTAATATCTGAAAATTTCATAGTCTTAATTATCTCAAGTAATATATTAAGATTTCTTAATTCTCTACAAAGATAAATAAGATATAATAAGCTAACATTAGTATTTTTTGCTGATAGAGCTAAGGTATAAGTTTCAGCTCTTATATCTCTAATACTAAGTTTATCTCATAAAATCTGTTGCATCATATCTCTAATAGTTTCTTCTTCCATTTCTTTAGAAAGTTGATTGGTAATTATAATATTTACATTTTTATTTGAGATAGTTACATTATATCTACTTTCATTTTTCTGGATTGAAAATAAGATATTTACTTGATTTTTACTAAATTTATATCTATTTTGCAAGATTCATTTTGCTTTCTCTCTAATAATTTCTTTTTCCAAACTTTTTGAAGGTGATATCATAATTATTCTACAACTATCTTTGATAATATTTATAATTTTAATTTTTTCACTTCTCTAGTTGAATATTAATATGCTCACCTAATTATTGCTAAATTTAAAGCCATTCTGAAGATATTATCAATCTTGATTCTGCTTTCTATCATTAGTAAGATTTTCAAGAAATTCTAAGATATATTAACTAAGTTCAGAATCACTCATCTTTGGAGTGAGAGTGTATTTTTCAATGATTTTAGTTGCAATAGCTGATATGATCTAATATTATAGTAAATCAAGTAGTTTATGAATAATTCTTTAGGTTATATATACTATAAAAAATATTTTTTCAAATTAAAATTAATTATGTTATATTTAGAAAAAGAGAGTATATATATCAATATACAGATAACTAATCATCAGTTTGAAATTTAAATAGTTCTTTGTATTTTTAATATATATATTATTTATGATATATTCAAGAATCTTTAGTATATTAAAAGTATTAGAACAGATTTTATATTTCTTATTTATAGATAAATTCCTCTATTTTACTTTATATATTTTCTGATTATGATACAGATATGATACTTCTATTCTATAGGAATAAGTTGAGCTAAAGAAAAATAATATACAAAAAAATTTTATGAAAATAATATGTGATAAATATAAGTCAGTTTATTGTTTGAATATAATCTATCTGGAAATTTCACATTACCATTCACTTTCAGATAAAAAATTCAAAGATATTATATATCTATTTTCAAATATAGTTTATTTAAATTTATATTATAGTACAGAATTCGATAATAAAATATTAAATCAAATAGCAGATTCATATCCCAATCTGAAGTATCTCAACTTGACAAAGAGAGTTTATAATAGATTAATAACTGATAAAGGTCTATATATAATTATAAATTCATACTATAAATTAAAATATTTAAATATTTTTAATTGTAAAGAATTTTCTGAAATAGTAATTTAGAATATTATTTATTTTTATCCAAAGATTCAATAGCTCAATATTTTTAATTATAATATTATTTGTACAACTATCAAGAAAATTAAATTATATATTAAAATAAGATATTTAAATCTGAGTATTACTATCTAATATTTGAAAAAAAATTGATTGAATCAGATCTGTCAACTTGAATTTAACTAATACATAGATTATAATGAAAAAAATATAGCTCTGGAAATAGAGATCCAAATTATATTAACATCATTTAATTTTATCATTTTATTTTTTTATAATGCTTGGAATAGATTCCAATATTTTTTTATACTTATGAACTATTTCTTATAAATATCAGATCTATTTTTTATTATATTAATTGATGATATTATAGCTAGATAGGATAGAATATTTATGAATCTAATTTGCTCAGGATAATAATAATTCATAATATTTAATAATTATAAAAATTCAGCTAAATCTTTATGTATCTAAAATTATTACATATTAATTTGCAGAATATTAATCTGTTATGATCAATCTCTCTTTTGATTAATAGATTAACTACTTTTTGTGATATTTTTATTAGATATATGTGATATATATATATAATATCAATATATTAGTGTGGATATTCTTTATTATATATGATATATTTTCTTTACTAATATTTAAATCAATTTTTATATAATATTTTCTTACATATTTTGAATATTCTATTATACTTATAATAAAATGGAAAAAGATTTAATATAAATCACCTTACTTATCCACATATTAAAATAAATGAGAATATTTGTGAGTAAGTCTATACTTATCTAACTGGATATGCTCTTCATTAGAAAATAGATACTAATAAATTATTAAAATTATCTTGTAATATATGTGAAAAATTCACCTTATCTTATATAGATTATTACTCTAAATATGCTAATAAATTTTATCATCAGGCTGAGAAAGAGAGATAGAAAAATATTTTTATCAATTCAGATACAAAGTGTCCTACTCTGTAAACTTCTTTAACTCCTAATATATAGATAATTTACTATAACATATCATTTTTCTGGAATATACTTACTATTTTTTTCTATTTCTTGTTAATATTCAATTATGATGAAATAATTCTATCTTTCTCAAGAAAATAACAGATTATCTCTTCACTTATTAATTTTTTTCATACTATTATATTCATATATTCACTGAAATTTTCTTCAATTTTCTTTGCAAAATCATATATTCTCACATCAGTTTGCATTTTATCATGAAATATTATGAAATCAAGCTTATCTTTTTCAATTATGATAATGAATTTATTAGAATTCTCTTCAAGTTTGATGACTTTTTCATAAAAATATATCTCTTATTACTCTTAGATTAAATAACCAGATAGGTATACTATCTGAATGAGAGTTTCTTCATTATTATTTTTTAATTTATTATTTATTACAGAATAATAGCTCTTTGGATCTATAAGTAAGTTAGAAGATATCTCAAACTCATTATTTACTGATTCAATAATCTTGGAATATAAAAATATATTAGTAAACTTGAATGATGAATTAATTAAATTTTTTTCTTGATTATTATATAATTAAAGAAATCCTGAATTATATTAATAATAGATAGGACAAATGATGATTTCTTATCTTTTTTAATATGATTAATATATGGTGAGATGAATTTTATTTTTTCTGGTTAAGAAGATATGATTTTTGAAATATTGAATATAAAAATATCTATAGATATATTAGAGAATGTTATTATAAATTATACTCTAAAAGATAGATTTTATTATAAATATAGTTTATAATAAGTTTTAAAAGTGAAGATTGAATTATTTATAAAGATTAAGAGAATAATAATTATTTTAAAGATTTTCTAGTGCCAATACTTATAAATATTGTATCAACACAAGACAAAAATAAAATAAAACAAAAATATAAAAATAAAGTTATGATCACAAATACTAAACTAAAAATAAGGTATCTA